CGAATTCGAATCTAAATCAATATTTGTGAGATCTGGTTGGATCTTTGAATCAGATCGTACCTGTAGGTTATTAGGTCGGATTCAGATATACCCTAAATTTTTATATAAATTATTATATTTTTTAATAATTTATTATTTAAAAAAATTAAATATGATCGGATCATATTCAGATATCCAACATCCTTATCAAATTCAACTCTAAATCAATATTTGTGAGATTCGATCGGATCTTTGAATCGGATTATACCTATAGTTTATCAGATTGAATTCGGATAACCCTATTTTGAATCCGATTTGATCCATTTGCATCCCTATAAAAAAGGGAAAGTGAAATCACGCTTTTTGGTGAACATTTTTACCATCCTCATTTTTATTATAGAAAATAAATATTTGATAGGTATAGAGGAATTAGGTACAATGGCTAAGGCGAGGCAATAATGGAAATATAAAATACTATATATATATATAGATTATAAAATACAATTGGAATAACAATGACTAAAGGGGGATAATAATGGAAATAGATATGCAATTGGAATAATAATGACTAAAGAGGGGAAATAATGGAAATAGAAAATAAGGGTCTTTTGATGACTACCCATTTACCATTCTCATTTTTATACAGGGAGATAAGTAAACTGCACTCCACCTTAGATTTCTGAATTCCACTACAGACCTACAACAATTCAAAGTTGTAAACTCCACCTAAACACCAATACCCACCCATGTATTGGCATCAATTCCAAGCTGGCACCTACCCCAACTGTATGGTGGAGCTAAGATTTGTGGGGGTGGACTGAATAGTAAAAAACCCCTTTTATATATGGTAATAGAAAATGATAAAATAAAATTTCCTCCATGCCATATTGTCATAGGTTTGCAACGGAAGAAACTTGTGCAGTGTCCAAGCCATGTGCAGCCAAGACAAGCCTAATGTGTTTGTAAGGGCCGTGTGTCGGTCCGATGATGGCTCCACCAAGGTCAATGGCACTAGATCATGACCTCACAGTGCATGGCCGGGGTTCTCTATGGATCTTGTCAATCAATGAGAGGTGCCTCTTACGTGCCAAAGGGGGAATGCCATGATGTGAGACAACCGTGTGCCGGTGATGTAAGGCAACTGCTAAGCCATGAACACACTCGTGCATTATAGGCAACAAGGTAGTTCGATTAGCTTAGGCATGGGCTGGCAAGGTGTAGGGACATGCTTGGGCCAGACCCACATGAAAAGCCTCCCTTTCATGTGCGTTGCGCAGTGCGGGTCCATGCATTGTCTCCATGAGAAACATTGGTAGTCATGCTAGCCATTAACTAGGACCACTCCGCAAGGGATATTGGTTTATGGAGTGCAAATGTCAAACACCCAAGGAGGTCAACCACCCCTCTTCAAAGAGTTCGTTAAGCTTTTGAAGGTCTACCAGTAGAAAATATCACTTCTTCAAAAAATCATATTGGAAATATTTATGATAATGCCACTTAATGCAAGTCCACAAAGCATAGATAAGGCTAAGCCTGTATAAGACCATAACAATATGTTCGGACATTTTCTACTTTTCTTTAAGGAAAAATTGCATAATAATATCCTATACTTTGGGCCTAGTCTCACTTTGGTTCCTAAACTTCAAAACCTATCAATCCAATGCCTAAACTTTCAAAACATACCAATTTACTACCTATCGTTAATAGTTGTCAATTATGTGTATCATGTGTGACTTAAATATTTATTAAATGACAAATTTGCCCCTTTTTTCTCTCTTATTCCCCTCCTTTTCTCCTCTTCATCTCCCTCAGATCTGTCTCCCTCTGTCACCACCGAATCAGCAGCGATGACTTCCACTTATCCTCTCCCTTTCATTCTCCCAGTCTCATAATCTCATCCCCCCTCTTTCTCTCTCTATTTCTTTCCCACTCTCTCTCTCTCTCCCTAACTTTCTCTGCTTCCTCTACTGTCGCTACAATTCCTATTAGTGGTGGTGCCACTATTAAGCATTTGTTTATACTTTGTGATTTTGAATTGCTAAAATGCTTTATACTTTTGAAATATGGCATTATATATGGTTTAGGGGTATATCAATATATTCGATAACATATGTGCCACATGCCAGTATATATGGACAAAATGTGACATTTGAATGTATTTAATAATAAGTGTGTGTTATGTGTCAATATATATGGATGCCATGAGGCATCAAAAGCGTGTGTGTTTCATTTGGAAACTTATACAGATGGCACGTGATACTTAGATGCATTCAATGGCATATGTATACCACTCAAAGGTAGGTAAACCTTTACAAACCTTGAATATGCTTCCCTTCCTTTCTCTACCTTTTCCTTCAAACCAAACATAGCCTTAGGGCACACAGTTTGGCAACATATGTGGATGTCACATATAGCATTTACTTGTGCGAAGAATCTTGGTGTACTAGTAATTGTACATGTGCTTTGCACATGGTAATTCTTGATGATGATGATGATGACAGTAATAAATAATATGTTTCAAACTTTTTTTATAATTTGTATATTTTTGTGTGTTTTCATCTTTATTATTATTATTATTATTATTACATCAAGGTTTTACACATTTGGCCCAAAAAGACTGAATTGTTGACTCACTACCAAATGGGAAAACAACTTAAATTTTGTATTGGTTTTAAATTTGTATTTTATTTCTATCATTAATAAAAATAATTATTCTTTATCACACTTATTTTTCTTTAATATGGTTAATTGGTATAGGGTTCAATAAAAAATGAGAATTAATACCTTAAATATAAGAGAAAGACTTAATGAAAGAGATTTGAATGAGGAAAAAAAAGATTGTTCAAATTACATTTTGTCCTTACAATTAGAGAGCAACCAAATTCAAAAATTAGGATATTTTAATCAAACAAAAGTTTCACTCTTATTCAAACTTTTAAGAGTAATGTAGATATAGATATAAATTTAAACATTATGATTTACTTTTATTTAAAAAGCATGCTTTTAATAACCTATTTTGCAAAACACATTTCACAATTAAAAAAATAGAGTGAAAACACAATGCGTATTCTTCACGTTCATACTTAATGGTACAAAAGTATATTAAAACATGGCCAAACTTTTTTATTATTGTCAAAAAATATTGTGAAGTGACAATTTTAAAAACAAACGAAAGCATTCATGTTGTAGGGCACCCCATGTCAGCTATATCTTGTGATAACCCTATGATTCATACAAGATACAATACCACCCAACCCATGGAAGAACTCTTGAATCCAAATGCTAGGGGTGCAAATGGATTTGATCATGATTCGATCCGATTCTATTTGGTCAAATTCGGATGACCCCCTGTCTGGATCTTCAGATCAAATAAGATAATAGGATTCAATCAGAAATCAGATGGGATTTGGATCAACCCCTATCCAATCCGATGTATATTATATATTTATAAATATGTATATAAATATAATACATATATTCTTTATTTATAAATATCTTTTATATTATATTTTTTATAAAAAATATGTATATATGATAAAAATAATTAAAAAAATACATGTATTTTTGTTTTTACTTTATTTAAATTAGTATATTTTATTTTTCTTTTAATAATTCATTAATTTTTAAAGAAAATAAGTTGGATTAGATCAGATTCAAAAATCCGATTTACCGATAGGATTTGAATTCAAATAGAATATATTGGATTTAACGTGAACAATGTCGGATCAAAATTCAATATACTATGATTCCAATCCGATCAGATGAATTTGCATCCATACCAAATGCACATCATAGGTCCCGAATATTGTCGGATTCCATGTGAATGATGGATCTTTGAGGCGCAGGTGTAATGGAGAACAAAGCATCCACCACCATCTAAGCCTTCGAGGAACCAGCTATAAAGTGATGAGAATAAAACATCCAACTTTCAATCCCGAGGACATGTGCAGACAGCAACTTTGGTCGGTAGAAAGTAGAATGATTCCAAGGATAACGCACGCAAATTATGTCACCGTTGGAATAAGCTGCAATAGGTGGTTTATTCTCTCACAAACGCCAAATCAGACAAACATCATATCCAATCAAGGTAGCATTTAGCATGATTTTTAAGCTTGTGGCACCATCGATTCTAATCAGATGTTTTAATTTTTCAACTCAAAAAAAGGGCGTTTATGATATAGTAGCATTTATAAGATGACTTGCAAAAATGCCTTTGCCAAGACCTGATTTTAACTTCGACATATTGATTTCTATTTTATGATCTTTTTTAGGCAGTCGTGGTTATGATTTTTGAGTTGAGATATAACAAACCGTTTTTTTTTTTTTTTATCACCATGGCATCTTAAAAAAGAGATCGGATTCGATCCTCGCAAGAAGGTGCTCACACCTTATTCACACAGCTACATGTGGCTACGAGAACAGTATGAACAGTCTTGTGAGGACTGAAGCTGAGTTCCTTCAAAAATCGCAAAAATCTTCCGCCGCCAAACACCACCCAAGCACTCAACGAGCAGTCGTAAGTACTAAATCAGAAATCTACTTCAGACTTCGGAATTCAGACATAACTAGCAAATTGGCGACCTTATGAGTTATGACCAATTGACTAGTTTAAGAGGCATGGAAATGGATCAAATATGTATGGTTGTGAGGCGTTAGACTCTCTGTCTGGAGCTAGACAGGTAGGCAGTATAAGTATATCTGTGATGGGCATTGTAGTCCAGTGGTATATATATATATAACGAGTAAGAGTAATGACCTTCCGTAGATTGGTGTAACAGTATAATTAATAGGTTGAGAATATACTGCATACAGACCGTCAATCTATCAGGTTGATTTCTGAATTCTGACCAATGAGAACTCACAGGTGGCTGATGAGAAACAAGGGAGATATAGGGGACAAGTGAGAGATCAACCTCTCTACCTACTTAACCTCTGGAGTTTTGCTTTCTTTAGCTTTTAGCAAATGACAACTAAACAGTATGCCCATCAAAGTGAAAGGCAAAAAAAAAAAAATCTGCATCTACAAGGCAAAAGAGCAAACCACATAATTAATTAATTACATGTGTATAAAACAAACGAGTATCTTTGAACAACATAGGCAATATCTAACAAAAAGACACGTGAAAACCAACAACTATATATGGAGGCAGTTCTACTAGAATGCAGATGCATTTGCCTTACCATTAGTTACTTTGCCAAAGAGAAAATAAAAACTTCTAATGCCTAATAGTCATGATCAAAGATCATGTATTTGTCATTTTTTCTTGATGTTGTTTCTGTGTCAACCTGCATAGCAAACACATATGAAGTTGGCTTGTCAATACATGTGCGCTTGAATAAATCAAAATTAATAAAGATAGTAACATCTATGAAACCATGATATTCCATGTACAGTTTACCTTTTATGGACGTCAGAAAATCAATACAAACAACCTTTGTCTCCATCCCCACCCCAAACAAAAACACAAAAGAAGAAGAAAACAAAACAATGATCAATGGTGCAGTGGTACCAGCATGGACCCCTGCACCAATGCTTGGATACCAACAGTAACTTTGCATTTGACCAGAGAGAGTTTTAGGGATTATTATAATAACAAGCAAAAGTTTCTTACATATTCAAGGATAAATGAAAATGAGTTTTTAAGTATTCTAGTAAATACATAAAGAGGGGGGAAGAAAGAATCGTGTAGCCAAACTCAGTAGTAAAGGCTGAAGACTCTTGCAAAGAAAGGTGAATTAAATTTACCAAATGACATCTACGACACAAGTCAAAAGGAAAGCTGGCTAGTGTCCTTCAAGCTAAAAGAAAAGGAAACATGGCATAGCGATCCAGAATGGATAGTAAACCTCAACTATGCACATGCTTATAAGTATACAACTGCTAATTCCAGATTTACATACCCTTGCAATGCCCTTTTAATCAGGTCAAGCTTCAAATTCAGTGATTCAAGCACTATTTTTTTGCTGCAGCATCCAGTATGGAAAATGGGGTCTCAGTTCTCAACACACTAGTCAGTTTACACTCTCATACACCAATCGGTACAACTAGAGTTAACTATCTATAGACAATTGCTTTGATAGTCATAGCCCTTAACATTGATTGAACACTCTTATGCATCAGCTTATGCATATAGATTGACTGCCTAAAAGGATACAAAATTTGGGCAGATGGCAGACCTGGATGTTCCTGTCAGACCATAATATGTTCTCGTGAAAATCTAAGGCTTCTCCACTATTATTTCATGAGGCACACTACCTACTAACATTTCCTCCATGTAATATGTTCCCATGCCAACCTAAGGCTTCTCGAATTGGATAACCAAAGGTGATGAATATATATGTGGACAAGAAAAGACTATTATTTCATGAATGCACACTACCCACATACATTTCCTCCATGCTTAAAAGGTATTCCAAGAATGAATATATCAGCATAGCTTGATTTAGTAGTAGAAGAATTCCATTCTTCACCAAAAGAAAAAGATTCCCATTTCAGAAGTTAATAACAGAGAAGATCTTATCAGACTTTACAGAACTCCAAACCATGGATCCAAAATTTATCTTACATGTTCATGACTTTATTTTCAACAAAAATAGATTCCCAGTAATCTTTTCAATTTACAAAAGGTAACAATTGGTCATTTGGCTCACTGTAATTACCACCAAAACAAAAGTCGATTCCCTGTTCTTGAAAACCATTTTGCCTCTAATAAGACATAGATAGAAACATAAAAAATTTCCAAAATAATCCTTAAAGTTATCAGGCATACCCTGTGAATTCCATTCTCTGCAATGTATTTCTCTGCAGCTGTAAGAATGTCCTCTGGCTTACTGAAAATGTCCTCCTTCCTTGGGATATACCAGACGTTAACTGTCTGCTGGTTTACAAAGAAAGGTCTAACAAAATGCTCATAAACATATGCAGCCCCACTGAAGTATGGCAATACCAACCAGCAGGTGGCAATCAGTTTTGCATACGGCCAAAAGGGGAGCCTGCCATAAAAATTTTCAAGTTAGGACTGTAGTTTATGAAAGTTATCAACCAAAACAGCATACCTTTTCTAAAGAATAGATGATGAAATAAAATGATAGATAAAACACTAGTGAACAGAATTGTGATCGTGCCAGGGGTCCATATGCATTAACATCCCTGTTGATGATGAAGATGCCTCTTTCTAACATGTCTTATGGCAAAAGAGAGGAGCAGAGTAAAGAAAGAAGGGACAGCTAGCAGCTACCAGCATCTTTTCTAATGTGTTTAGTTCAATATAAAACAGGCAGATAAAAAAGGTTTTCAAATATAAGAGAACTACAACTGAAATTTTTCAGAGTTGGCATTATTTTCCGTCCCCTTATCAGCTAATATATCCTGCAATGCAGTGCCCTTATTATTTTCAGAAGAAGGGGGTTGTTGAAAGTTAAAATTACAAGCAACCCCAAGAAAAAGGTAACATAATTGCCAACAAAAAGGGACACTTTAAGGAAATAATCCATGAAAAAAGTACCAAAAAATGCACTCCCATCCTATTGCTAAACCTCCACCTATGTTTGAGTTTTTCATCATTTAATTTCTAAGGATACTAAAGCAAAACAATAATATTAGATTGATGGAAAACATAATTAAGAGCATATTACAGGAAATAGTTAAGTGCGGGTAAAGTTACCACTCAATAACTTTTGCGAAGGTAAGCTCGAAGAGGGTAAGCATAGAATATAGAACCCAGTAAGTGAGCCACTGCTTATCATCTTCATGGGACTTGGACTCTATTGCCCTAATGGAGGCGTATCTGTCACCCCCAAGAAGAAAAAAAAAAAGGCTTGATCTCAATGTCAAAATTAGCCACTTCAATTTTCAGAGAATCTAACTAAAAGAAATTGCACTTACAGAGGATAAACCAGAGTAACCAAAGGCCTGCAAAACAAACACAACAACCGAATTACAAAAAAAAAGAGGGAAAATAACTACAAAACAACCAATGTACCACTATAATTGGGGAGAAAATACTATTATGATCTCGGCAAAGAAAAATTAGTAAAGCAAAATAAACAGACTTGTTAAAAAGCGTCATTTAACATGAAAATCTTTGTTTTCTCCTTTCCTCTGAAATTCTGAAAACATACCCAGCAAGAACGTCGAAGTTCTTCGCCACCACTTTGAGAAAGCTCCCAGATCCCATCTCCTTAATTTCTTGGTTTTCCTTTTATCTGTTTTCTGGTGTGACTACTGACTAGTTTACAACAAGGAAAGAGCAGGAGTTCCTCCTTTGCTGAGAGGTTTTGGTCCAAGAGACCGTAAAAACCAAAGCAAAAGCAAGAGTGAGAGAAAGGGAGCGTTAAATCTTTAAACGTTACAAAAGACTTGTTCGTGAGGCAACCGAACCAGTTACCAACCACTGCTTAAAGGCCTGATTTTTTTGTCATTTGCTAAAATCACCCCCAAGTTTCATGAATTTGCTAAAACTTATCATATATTTTGTATTTCATTAAAACATTCCTATAGTTTGCAACTGATTTATGTATTTGGTTTGGAGGAAAAGGTAAGAAAAGGGAGAACAATAAGTTTTCACTGTTTTCTTACCACCTTTTCCTTTAAATCAAACACACCCTTAATGAAAATAATGGTTCGGACCTTAACATCCATTGGAGCAAAATTAATCTACATAAAATAAGAATGGAAATGGTGTTGTTGCCTTTAGGGCTTCCTTCACTCTTTGACAAGTTATTTATTTAGGTAAATGCATTTACTTATGTTATTTTATTTCTTAAATAAATAAGTCAATGACCATTTTAGTCATAAAAATCTATTATTAAAAGGATATTTTTGTTATATTCAAGTGTTGTCAACTTTCCCCCAAGTAAGAAAGTTATTTATCCACTTGAGAGACGGTCATCACTTACCCAGAAAATTTTTCCTAATCCTCACATAAATATGAAAAAAAATAACATGAGTTTCTTAGTCAATGGGATTGTGAATCCCATAACAAATTTTCCCCTCTCAAAATCCAAAAAACTAATGCCCCCTAATAGTAAAATATGGGCAACCACTTCCAAACATTGCTCGTACCAAGTAATCACACATTGTTTCTTTCTAAAAGCTTGATTTAAAATGCTAAAGGATACTTTGAAATAAATGACTATGGGCTATGACTTCAAATATTTTCCACTCAGTTTAAGTGGACCAATTCCAGACAGCAATACAAACCATTTAACGAAAGACTGATTTTATTAAATCAATTGGTTGCAAATCATAAAAGGTGATTTAATAAAACACAAATTTAAGGGTAGGTTTTAGTAAATCTATGAAATTATAAGGGTTTTTAATAGATGACACTTTTTTAATAAAATAAAATAGGACTAATCTTAAATCATCAGGCGTGCGCAACCGAGTTCCAAAGTAATCGACGGAATCACAGAATGCTGCATATAACTAGGAAAGATGATTGGAAAAAAAATAAAACCTTTTTTATAAAATGCATATTATATTATATGATATATAGTGTAGGGAAAAATGCCATTTGAACCAAACTTTTACCCCTAATTTCATTTTAGGGCACTCAACTTTATATAAGAGAGACGAGATGGTATAAGGATTTAAAAAATGATTAAAAAATACAATGTCATATGGATGCTTTATTTTAAGATGTGTTTTTTTATAGTATTAAATATTTATTTAAATTATTGAAATGCGTATTTTAATATATTCTATGCATATATAATATAAAATACACCATTTTCATTCTATTTTCAATACACGTCTGTGTAACTGAATTATTTACCATTTTTTATTCTTCAAACCAAACTATGCATAAAACTTTTTCCTTGTTGCATTTATGTTAAATATTTTGTGTTATCTAATATTTTTATATTATGTGCTTTTTGTACAATCCGTTAGTACATTTATTGGGTTTAACCTAAAATTTGAGAAGCACATCACATTTTGTAGTTGAAAAGTTGGCGTAAACAGTACTTTTTCCTTATAATATATTATATATTATATTTTTTATATAAATATTTTCAAGCTGCCCCTTATATGAGTTCAGATGCAGAAAAAAAGCATAAAATATTCTGTTACATCAATTAGAACCAAATGGGGTGTAAGTCAGGTCAAGCTAACCCAAGTTATTGAACCTTCAACACTAATTGATTTTGGATAGGCCTGATTTGTTCATTTTAAGTTTTATTTTGTTTTGTTTGTTTGCTTTTTTTTTTCTAAGAAGTCAATATTTATGATGCAGAAAGATATGATATATTGATTTCTGAAAAAAAACTAGCTTTGAACAGTATATTATGATTAATTAGCTTTGGCATCATTACAAAATCTTTGATTTTAAACTTAAAATTGTTGATGCATATACATTTTTAAGCCAGTTGATATATATGCATATATATATGCATGCATATTTATATGTAAATATATATAAATAAACATGTGGAGTTCAAGTAGGTTGAGTTGCTCAAGGTATCAACCATAATCCTACCTGACTTTTGGGCAAACCTGGCCCATGTCACATCCTTACAAAGCTAGAATTGCCCATGCCATCAAAATGCCTGTAAAGCAACAGCTTGTAAAAGACCATTGGAAGAAGGATGTTAAGCCCCTCCATTAGTCCTATTTTTCAAAAGTAAGGCTCCATTTGGCTCGTAAGAATAGGAGTCCAGAATTGGAATTGGAATGGGCTACTCCAATTTTAATTGTTTGGTTGGAAGGAATCAGAATCTCATTTTCATTTCTATTGAAATAACATTTCCCCATTTGAGGGAATAGCCATTCTTTACTTCTCCTTCAAGAATAAAATTTCATTTTTACTGATTCCAATTCTCATTCTCATTTCTGTCTGAACCAAACAGACTAGGGAAATAAATCATTCTAATTCCGATTTCAACTACAAACTAAAAGGACCCTAAATAAAGAAATAAGTCTTAAAAATGCACAAGGGTACCTCCTTTCTTCTTCTTTTGCATTACTTATAACATATTAGAGGGGGCTCGAACCGTTTAATTCTTTTGGTGACCTTTATATATGATTGTGCCTACTCTAAACACTTTTTTGACAGACGTACATGAAAGTAAAAAGTAAATCCGGAATACGTTCATCTTTTTCTTTTATTTTTACATTACTATGTTTTCCACTATAATGGTATTTAGTGAACCTGGTAGCCAATTGCACAGGTTATCGCCACAACTAAATAACGTGTTAACGACCCACAACCCTCTCAAGCATTGCCGGACTTTCTTTTTGGGAAAATTTCTGATAGGTATCCTGTACTTTTAGGCCAAGTACTAATTTAATACCTGAATGACAATCTAGTACTTGAACTTTCAAAATGCGACAATCTAGTATCCGCCAATCGTTAAATGGCACATGAAAAGACAAAAATACCCTTAAAATATAATCTAATTTTCTTTATCAACCTATATGCTAAAATCAAAACCAAAGGCGCTTGCAATTGCAAGCAATGCGATTGCAAACAAGAAGTTTATTAAGCTTTGCACGATCGATTGTCGTTGTTGTTATACCAAAAACAACAACCCGAGCTTCTTTCTCTTTTGCTTTATTGAAGCTGGATGGAAGTTATCACGTGGATGTGTTCTCCAGCAACCGAAAGATCGATAACTTGATCAAATGTGGCCGTCTTGATTCAGCCGTTGAGATGTTTGAAGCAATGCCTATCCGTGACGTCGTCTCCTGTAACTTGGTAATAGCTGGTCATGCTCGCCATGGGTTTCAAGAGCTGGCCCTTGATCTCTTCAAAGAAATGGTTTTTCGAAGCCTTAGAGAAAGCCCATCCACATGTTCTTTAGTTTTGGGTATTTGCAGTGATGTTGGGTTCTACCAAGAAGGCCTTCAAGTTCATTGCAGAGTGGTTTTGCTTGGGTTCAACGCAAACTTGTTTGTTGGGTCCACACTGATTGATCTGTACCCGCAAGCTTCATATCTTAACCCTGCTATGCAATTGTTCGATGAATTGCCTGGTAGAAGTTTAGCAACGTGGAATTTGGTTCTTCGTGGGTTCTATCAATTGGGTCGATCATATGAGATGCTAGGATTCTACTTGAAGATGAAATCAGATGTTGGGGTTGATCCAAATGGTGTTACTTTCTGCTATTTGATATATGTCTGTGCTCGACATAGAATGGGTAGAGAGGGCCTCAAGATGCTTGAGACCATGATCCAGGAGGATCTGAAGCCAGATGTTGTAACATTCTTGTCTATGTTAATGGGTTGCAGACACTCATGTTTGGTGAGAGAAGAGCAATTAATATTTGAATCAACGGAAACCATCCATGCCGTCTACCTAGACAAGAGGCACTATTCATGCATGGTTGATCTTCTGGGGTGAGCATGCTTGTTAGAAGAAGCAGAAGTGTTGCTAAAATGCTCACCAATTAAGGGTGATTCAGTAATGTGGAGCTCCCTGTTGCATAGTTGTATAGTACATCAAAATGAGAAGGTAGGAAGAAGAGCTGCAATAGCTTTGCTGGAACTCAACCCAGACAATCCTACGATGCTATTGCAGGCATCAAGCTTCTATTCTGAAATTGGTGATACAAAGATGTTCATGAAAATTAGAGAATACAAGGAAACGAGTGAAATGAGAAAGGGGACATGTTACAACTTTATTGAGTCAATCAATCATGGTTACTCTTGACATCATGTGCAACCACTTACTCCCGGTATGTTCACATTATTTTGCTGCAAGTATACTTATCAATCTGTAAAGTCAATCACAGCCCAGAAATCATACTGATGACGTATCGTATCATCATACAATCTATGTTTTAGCTCATTCAACCCCAAGCAAAATCCAGATGACCCACTAGAACTATTTCCCTCTACTGACTCAGAAGTCAACATTTATTGTGTTGATAATGGAGTCGATGCCAACAAATAAGATATTCATCCAAAATCTATAACAGGGAAGGAAAGAATTTGTTGTGTTGCGATACAAAGGTGGGAGTTTGATAGACAATGGCCACCGCACCAAAGGTCACCTTTTGTTCTTCAAGCCTTCATCATCTGTGCAAAAAGACACCACCTTCTCTCACATCGAGATCTCTGTCGACCAATTCCTCAACATGCTTCCAATTCAAAACCTTAACGTCTATCTCTAATGGCCATCGTTTCTTCATTCCGTACTAGCGGTTTACAGTTTGGGCGGAAGACAGTGAGCAACAAGCACAAGCAAACTCTTCGGTTTTCGTCTAGACTGTTGAGAGCTTGAGATCTGTTTTATTTTCGTGAAAAAGAAGATAATGAACAATGTATTTTATTTTAAGGATAATTTTGACATTTTAAAAACATTAAATGGCACATGAGGTCATGTAATATACATAACTGACAGCCCATTAAAGGTAGGTACTAAATTGTCGCAATTTAAAAATTTTGATAATAGATTGTCACATTTTAAAATTCAAACACTAAATTGACACTCATCTTAAAGTACAAGGTACCTATCATAAAATTTTCTTTTTTTTTTAATATATTGCGAAGGGCCACAACGGGGTAGCCTATCCCCCAACCTAGATGCAGGCGGGTTCGATCCCACGTCTCTGCTGCTACGACCAGCAAGCAGGAGGAGCCCTTACCAGCTGGTTGGCACCTTGCCCTTAATCCTTCTGAATGAGGACAAAAACTGATCACGACAATAATATCATTTAACAGCTAACATTGGTCCATGCATAGCAATCGAATTCGAACCAAAATTGTAATTCACAATTCACAAACGTACATCCTGATTTTCAGAATACGCTAAGAAAAACCATTTATTGGTGACAAATGCTCATTTGGCTAGGAATATAAATACAAATATGTACAGTACAAATACATACAAAATGTAAGGTTTTGCACTTTACAAATTTGTATTTGTACTCCTTCCAAACTGACCCTTTACATCCATGGAACGCTAAAATTTTTTTAAATTATTAATCCCCCAAAGCACCATTACCCGGATCCAACCGTTGTCATCGCCAGTGGCATAGTCATTGTATGTGGCACTAAACACATGCCTATACTGAAACCTATAACCAAGTAACTAACCCAAATATATCCAAGAAAGATAGGGGGTAATTGAGGACAAACATTTAAATAATTTTAGGTGCATGGTGAATACGTTTAAACCATCTGACCAAACTAGATCTTGACAAGTTTATACACTGCCAGCGACTTGTCCGCCCCTGCTGATGCCTGTGGTGTTTTTACTAAGTATATCTTTTGTTGTATTTAACTGGTCAGAAAGAAGTTGTGCTGGCCAAGAGTCTGATGGAGTAGGATATCGAGCATGAGGTCTGCTCACCTGCGAGGGAGGATTTGATGGAGCATGTGTACTCATGGGCTCTGGATAAGCTTTAAGCTCATGATGGAAGGGAATAACAAACACTGAACCAACAGGGGCCGACTGCAATTTGGCATCTACAACAGGCAACCTAAGATGATCTTCAGGTAAATGTGATCCCGAGTTCTTATGCTGCATTTGGGCAGTAGCTGCATCCCATGTAGGTTTACATTGAACCCTTTCCTGTAGTTCAGTCTGTAACTTCTCAATTTCAGCTTCTAGGACAGAATTCTCTTCTTTCAGCTCATTCTTCTCAATGGTTACCTGCCAATCAACCATTCAAAAGGATAGATGGTTAAAATCAAGGTAGGAAAAAAAAATCTAGGATGAAGACATAAACAGATTGATTTCCATGATCATTTGCATCTGTGAGAGGATACAATTTTCAGTTTAGAAGAGATGTTTTTCAGAAAGATGGATGCTTATAGCATCATGTGTTTTTTGGTGGCTAGGTGAGGATGAAATCCTCATTCGCCTACCAAAGTTAACACCATTTAGAAAAGGTGACCAGTAAAAAGCAATGAACCCCCTATCTGTTTGGAAAAAAAAAAGAATTTAGAAATAAGCTCTTGCCAACTCTTTTTTGTCCATGTCATCTCTTTGCAGCTTCATGGCTGTCAGAGCCATAGAGGAAGAATTGCAGATTCCTCAAAAGTTGAGACATGACAATTTCTATTACAGATGAAGATGATAGAAGAGAAAATGAGTGGAAAAGAAAAAGGAAAACACAAAGGGGGCGCTCTTTTTCTGGATTTTGAGAGGAGGGAAAGTTGGTCGATGGGATTTTGGTTCCCATTGACCAAGAATCCCATGTTCTTTTTTCAGATTTATGTGAGGACACGGGAAAGTTTATTTTCCCGGTACCCATCTCTTGGGTGGGTAAATAACTTTCCCACCTTGGGGGAAAGTTGCCAACACTTGAATGGGTCAAAAATGCCCCTCATAATAATGGATTTTTATGACTAAAATGGTCATTGCCTTATTTTACATGGGAAATAAAAGAGCATGGCTAAATGCATTTACCTGGATAAGTCTTACCTGGGAAACACTTACCTAGGTAAGTGCATTTACCCGGGTAAGTAACTTACCGAAAAGCGAACGGGGCCAAAAGGAAAAAGGGAACCAGCTATTTTGGTTGCACTCCTGGTCCCATATCATAACTTTCAATTTAGCCCACAAGTGACTGTATTACAAGTTTACAACCCCATAAATAATCATCCAGATTATTTAAAAGTGTCCTTCCATAATTGCCCATGCATACTTTATCTCTTCCCCTTGCCAACAACAGTGACAAATCATCTAGAAATAAAGATTAGAGATTTCTTGCTGAAAGGATGGAAAGAAGAGCAAACAATCCATAAAATGGAACAAGGTCTGCAGCCTGAAAGAGTCTGGAGGGTTAGGACTCACTAGGAGAAAGAAACTTGAGAGTGGTAAACTTGGCCTTGCTTGGAAAATGGTTTTGGAGATTTAATGAGTAATCAAAGAGCTTATAGAGTGTCATGCTCAAGTTTGGCATGAGGAAAAGGGCTGGGATCTGGGTGAGCCTAAGAAATATTTTTTTGGTAATAAATAAAAGAGAAATTAGGAAATGCTACACTTCGTCAGAGGTAACCAGTACAAGAGAGGGAATTGTAGTAGGTAAGATTCTGGAGGAACCCTTGGTAATGATGGTCAGCCACTTATGATGTTGTCTCTGTGTTTGTGAAACTCCAAACCAGCATTCCACTGATTGGAGAATATCTGAAAGTACTCCACTTTTCTTTATGCCTTATTTTTATTTTATATACCATTATCTGACCACATGTCACTTGTAAATGTTTAAAGCAACTACCTTGATTTTTGCAAAATAAAGGAACAAATAATATATATGATATTGTTCTAAATGATCTGAGATCAATACAAGCCAATATTTTAAAACGTGGAGGCGTGACGCGAGACGTTCCACTACCTAGAGGTGTGAGGCGTAATTCAGATCGTAAGAGGTGTAAGCCTCCCTTTCTTTTTTTTGTCTTTTTATACGAGGTGTGCGTGTGAGACGCATGAGGTGTATGCCTCTAGCACACTTCATGAAAAAGGAGTATGAGGTGTACGCCTCTTGCACCTGAGGCGTATGCCAGAGGTGCCTCTGGCATACACCTCGGGGCGTTTTGGGGGGCACCTTGCCTGGAGGCATGCCTCCACGCATACGCCTCCCAGGCTCCCACGCCTTTTAAAACACTGATACAAACAAAGAAAAATAAAAAATCAAATTGTGGTTGATTAGGATAACCATATTAAATCATTAGTCAATCTAGTCATCCCAGGCAACCATATCATGGATATCAACCAACTATTTTAGTAATGGAATCAGTGGGGCCTTAAACTAAATAGTCAGTCAACCAGTTGAAAAATTTGGGATCACAATCAAACATTAACCAATCCAAACCAGGAGAAACCAAATGCTTTAACTGAATTCTTTTCTGAAAATAAATGTCGGAAAATGCACAATCACGACCAAACTGGATTTAAACTTTAATCTAGTTGGAATTGGACACAAGATACACGTGCACATAAACTGACAAGTTGCAGGATCAGGTAAAGAAAGAATTGCAACCAATAGAATTAGAATGGGATGGGCAAAATGGAGGAGTGCATCCAGAGTCTTTAGTGATAAACATATACTACTTAGATTGAAAGGAAAATTTTATAGAACAGTTGTTAGGCCAGTTATGTTGCATGGAACAGAATGTTGGGTAGTCAAGAAACATGTTCAAAAAATGTGTAGGAAAAAGGTATATGCGGAAATGGATGAGTGGAAAAACTAGAAAGGATAGGGGCAGAAAAGAAGTCATTCAAAGAATATAGGAGTAGCTCTGACAGGTGATAAAATGAAAGAAAGTAAACTAAGATGGTTTCGTCACATGCATAGAAGACCAATAACAGCACCCATGAGAAGAACTGGTCAGTTGCAAGTTGAAGGGGCTAGACGGGCTAGGGTTAGACCAAAAAGGACATGGAACAAAGAAGTTAGAAATGATTTAAGTGCCCATAATTTAACAATGGATATGGCATTAAACAGGAACTGAATCGCACATGTTGCTGATCCTATATAGTTGGGATAAGGCTTGGATGATGACGATGATGATTTCTAAATGCACTTATGAAACCAATTTCTTACTTCAACTCATTAATGTTAAATTAGCCATACCTACCGTTCTTCATATCCTTTTTATTAATATTCTTATGATTTTTTAAATCCGTTTTAATCTTATGATTTAAGGATTGGTAACATGATTTGAATTGAAACCAGTGCAAAATTGTAAAATATAGCTTGGTTCTTGAAATGGCTGTGAACATTAATGTAGGATTAACCTAGACAAGGCACTGTCAAAAATCCCAAACACCAATAATCTAAAGGAACAACCAAAAAGAATCTCCAATAGGATCAGTACATGTGTTAGAAAACCATTAAGGTGAGCCTGACAAGAGAGCTGAGGAAAAGGAATTAGGTGGAAAAGAGTTTGGTATTAGAGAACAACATAATTTGAAAAGAAAGCAACATAGGTTTCAAATGCTTACATAATGGGATTCAGATAACAGAGCTGCATGCTCTCTTTTGAGAGATTCAACCTGAGCTAGCAGATCCCGCAGTAATCGGGTGGAATCTCCCAATATAGAGGCCTTTCCATTGTTCTGTCGAGCTGGTTCTGTAAAATAGGTGACACTCTTCAACAAATATATAAATCTCGCGACTTCAAAATAGAGCTAATCAAGCTGGGCAATCATAAGAAAGAGAACGAGAGCTAAATAGACTACAATGATCCTTTAAGATAAATAAATATGTTGAGACTAAGCTTCAAGTAGCCTTTAAAGAAAGAGGTCATCCAGAGAAACAAAAGAAACAATAACAAAAGGGAGGAAAATATACCAAGAGAAATTCCTAGCTCATGAAAGAGCTCATTCAAATGATCACGCTTCTGTTTCTCTCTCTCAGCTTTGTGAATTTTCTTTGGAATTTTCCCATGGTTCCTTTTGTTAGGCAAAGAGCTGCATAAGAGCAACAAAGGATATTTAGACAAATTCCCATTGTCGCCATTGTTGTTATTTAGCCATTTGTGGATTTACTACAAACTAAAAAATCCAGATGCCAACCGGATATTTTCTCCATTTATTTAATAATCCCACTGTATGGTCTATTTTGCGGCTTATCCAAAGATGAGTTATTTGTTTTGGTTTTCCTAGCGAGGGCTTTTTTGTTTTTGTAACTTGTTTTAATCTATGGAAATTGAGCATCCATTAGGGGTTATAAATTAAGCATCCATTAGTGATTTATGCCCAAGGCTTTATATAAGTTAAGCACCTGAGACATTACAGTAAGCTAGTACTTTAAAAAGAGGGGAGATCAAGTTGCATGGTGTGCAAAATTTAGATGTCTTCTGCTTGATAGGGAAGTAGAAGAATGCATTTCACTATTTTCGAAGCTAGAGGTGATGAGGATGGACTCTTAACTATGCAAGTGCAAGATAGTGGAAGCCAGGAGTGCACCAATGGGAAGTTTTCAGTTACGTCTTTTTATGAAGCTTTATCCAAGAATTATATTGAAAGGTCTTCTATTGGAAGACTGTGATGACGTCCTGTTCCTCCACAGTTGAAGATTTTGTTTGGCTGCTTGCACTGGACTAACAGTTGATTATCTGAATTAGAGAAATTTTTAGTCGCCAAATATGCTTTGTCCTATGTAGGAAACAAGAAGAAACAGAATCATGAATATGGCACTAAACTGAATAGAATAGTGAAATGGGATTAATGTAGCCGAATCCATATAGTTGGGACAAAGTTTAGTTGATGAGGAGGAGGTAAGAATATGTGATTTTTTTATCCAATGCTGCTGGGCAGAATTAATTTAGAAATTTTCTTTGCTATTTTTAATTTCAGAAAAAATTGCCCACAAGGCCAGTGGAGACTTTTTCAACATGGACAATATTGGGGGGTGAAGGGGAGAAGGTGGCACTACCGCAATAGCTATAGTATTATCCCATTACTGCATGTTGGGTATTTGGAGAGGAAGGAATAGGTGTATCTTCGATGAGAATTTTCAATCAAGAATAAAACTAAATTTGTGATTAATTAAGTAAAGAAGAATTTGGGGTCAATTTTTGGGCTACTTTTGAATCATGAATTGGATTGTTAATGAAGATAAATTGACAATGTATTTGCTTTGGAGCTACTCTGTTTTGGTGAATCTCATCACCATTGATTGCATGCTTCTTCTTTTAATTATCCTTTTTTTCCTATAAAAAAAGTTAGTAGGTTGTTTCAATCCAGTTAGATGGGTACTTTTAGCATTCTGCCACCTCAGCTGCTTCCTGTTACAGGTATAAGGACTACCAGTCACTACCACTAACAGTAAAACGCCTACCTCTAATATTTTGTGCTTTTCCTGTCTTCCGAGACTACTTATGGAGGGAAAGGAAGGTCATACACAAAACCAAATATACACATAAAGAACCAAGAAAACAAGCATTTTCCATTTTATTTATCTTCTTTATCACAATACCATCCTGGGAATCCATCAAAAAACAAGTAAATATGACAAACAATTAAATGACGTTTCATAGTCCAAAACTTTCAGAACTTCAATCACTGACCTGCAAGCTGGTTTCTCTGACACCTGACTGACCTCCTTAGCCTTAGCCGTTGAAGCAGGAGCCTCTGAAACCATTTTATGTCAGGTCACCAGCTTCAAAATAGATGTCGAAAGGAATATTCGAACGCCTGTAAAAAACAACTTAATGAAATCAAGGCTTTGGAATGCTCAATAAACAGATCGAATCAGAAATGATCATCCACCCTGCAAACAAAAGGTAGAAAAGAATAATCCCATTCAACCAATGCTATTCGACTATGTCACTATCTAGCACCCCTTACTGATAACCATAGCAGCAAAATTGATTCTCTATTTACTCGGCATACATAACCTAGATGCCATTCCGTTGTACACTTGTCATAAATTCCAAGCAACGTATTGACTCTAGGCATAGATCTTTTCCTATATAGCTCTCTTTCAAAACCAAGAAGCTCTAGTTTAGTCAAGATTAACAGAAAATAGAAGAGGAAAATCCTAAAATTGATTAAAAACCGAGAAAAAGATAACTAGAAATAGTCGAAAAAGAAGGTAAATGTAGAAAAAAAAAAATCTAAAATTCGTAGAATCAATAGATGGATTCCTGGCAGCAGCAATACTACCAACCAAACAAGAACCACAATTAAATGAGACTGCCAAGACCTATCTCTCAATTTATCGATCATTATGATCAGGAAATCATGATTCTGAGCATAAAAAAAATCAACTTATGAAATTGGAAAGAAATAAAAAGAAAAAAAAAAAGTAATCTAGTTAGCTGAAGAGAGAAGAAACAAGGGGACCTAGGGCAGACATACCTCCAACGCTTTCGAATCGATCTGGACCAGAACAGAGAACTAGAGCTAATCCAATAACAAGAATAAACGTAAAAGGAGATAAATTATTGAGTAAACAAAGGGAGAAAATTGAAGAAAACAAAAAGGAGGAAGGAGGAGAAGAACAATAAAATATGAACGATAGCAAACAAATTAAGAAAAGAAAAAATCTATACTTAGTGGGAGTGTTTTGGGCGGGCACCGGGGTTGGAGGGAAACAGGAAACAGGAAACTATGGCTGTGACTGTGAGCTATTCCACGCGATGCGTGTGGTGAGCACCCTCCCTTTACACGCATTGAATCAAGGGGCACGAGCATATAACGTGGATTCCACCTTTCGATAAAAATTGTTCGTATATTTAGATCGCCCACCTCTTGTCTTGTGCTCCACGGTCAGACAGCCACCCTATCTCTCCCTCTCGGTGTAACCGTGTAAGGTGGAGGTCGACGTGGCCGATGTTTTTTTTTTTTTTCTTGTAAATTGCTGAAATCTCTAGAGTATAAATACAAATTTGTAGAGTGCATGTTTGTATTTGTACTCTTTCCAAACTGAGCCTGAAGTTTGATAATTAAAATCATCTCTCTTGAACTTTGTAATACAGTTGCAAGTAAACCCCTTTGTTACAATTATTATAAAAAAAATATTAAATTTATGAATAACAAACAACAACAATAGGAATTTAAACTTGCAGGTTTACTTTCAAGCAATTGATATGAAGCACAAATTTGAGAAATAAATTAATTTTAGGAAATAAATAAGAAAGGTTCAGGGAAATAATTGGTATGAAGAAAAATTTTGAAAAATAAACATTTTAATCAAAAATAATTGTATGAATATTTTGAACATTTTCATACCTTTTTCTTGAGGATTATAACAAAGGAGATTTAATTGCAACTATGTCAGAAAGTTAAGGGGAAGTGATTGCAACCACTGAACTCCAATTGAGACTTCAGCAATAACCAGAAACTTCAGAGGAGGTTTCAGCAGTTTATCTTTTTATTGAAAGTTGGTGGAGGGATTCCAATTACTTCAGTTTGGAAAGAATACAAATACACATATATACTATACAAATACATATACAAGGTTTTGCACTCGACTAATTGTATTTATACTCCTTTAAAACTGAGCATTTTTTTTTGAATAATTCCTTTAAAACTGAGCGTTAAAGTATCAATACAGTGCAAATACAGATTCAAATATTTATAATTGTTACTAACTAAAGAAAAGAGAAATAAAAAAGAACAAGAGAGAGTAAGGCACGTGTCCGAGAAAAACATTTTTTCTAGAAGCTCAAATGACTGATTCCATTAGTTACATGTCCATGAGAAGACACACTTGAGTTGCGGATTTGACGAGAGTTGAGACACATTAGTTTCATGGATGGAAAGTTATTGTTATCTGATTTCACAGAACGTGCCCCAAAAACGCGCACGTCTTACTGTGCATTGAAAATATCTGGAAGATATTCTTAATCCACGGTTGGGATATGTTGTAAGACATTTTTTGGGCGCTTTATAAGGGGCAGATATGAATTCTTGTTATCTATCACAATGCATCTTGCTGTCAATTGTCCTATACACTCTTCCCTCAGCGTGCGTGTAGCTAATGGGACGACCGTTAGCTTCAAATCTGTGCTCAAAACCAAAATCGCCCCCCCCCTCCCGGCCTTATAAAGCGCCCTCTTCCCACTTTATCCACTCTAAATCTGGACCCTATGCAACCCTGCACTCCTCCGATCCAATCATTTCCGGCACCGACAACCGTTAAGGCAAATACATTGGAGATACGAACTGTCCCTCTCATCTCATTTCTCTCTCTCACACATCCTTTATTTATTTTCTTTTTTCAATACAAAACACAGAAAAATGGATCACTGGCGACCAATGTAAATTAAAACTCATATAGTAGTAATAGAAATTCAGGTTAACATTTTCATATTTTCTGGATGTTTTTTCTTTGGAAATGTTATTTTAGCAGTAAAAAAAATATGGGAAATTTCTTCCTTTCTCTTCTGTTTGCGAAGCCAATTTTGTGAGTAATAATAGAATAGAGGCAAATGTAGATTCAACTACAGCAATAACGTCTTCTTAACTCCCCTGTGCATTGAAGGTTTCATTTTTCTATGGTAAAGATTGTTTCACTTAAATACCACCAACCCATGGTTACAGGGCAAGATGAACTCAATCACAAAGAGGGTAGAAGACGACACAAAGTATTCACCTTTCCTAGTATCGTACCACAATGCTGGTACATTGATAAATGCCGATCTTGGTGAGGATTTCGGGCAACATCATCCCTGCGACACCCAACATGGCCCACCTCCCATTCTGAAGCTCCACCTGGATGAACTATTTCAGGTTGTTGGAGTCCTCTGCGAATCCCAAAGGATCAACCCCATTGTCGCCTGAGTTGTCATTAATATCAATTTTCTTAGAAAATATCAATCTATTAAAAGACCTCACCTAATAGGTTAAGTTTTTAGGTTGAATGGTTCTTTGAAATGGTATCAGAGCCACTTTGATCAAGTGGTCTAGTTTTTTATCCTCGTTACCCCATTATAACTAATTAAATTTCAGCACAAGGTATGGGTGGGCCTATGCTTGTGTGTGAGGAGGCTTGTTAGAGAATATCAACATATTCAATAGGACCTCACCTAATAGCTTAAGCTTTTAGGTTGAATGGTTCTTTGAGATATTTGTTAGAAGTAGAAGACGTCGAGGCCCAAACCAGGCAACCACGAGCTTGCCGCAAGAACCAGTTAGGAACCTCAATCTTGAGGTTTCACCCTCCCCTTCTCTGTTTACTGTTGCTGCTGCTGGTCGCCGGAGATGGCCGGTGGTGGGTGAAACTTCCCTTCTCTGTTTTGAATTGATTTTTTCTATTTGTACTCCCCCCTGTTCTATGTTGCCAGACGGGGAGTACCTCCAATGCATTTGTTGGAACGATCGTGTCTTCAACTTCCTCATCGGATGGGGGAGGAGATGAAGGGGTGTGAATTTCAAACGGGGGTGAGCAAGAAAAACCAAAAAAAAAAACACAATCGAAATCGAACTGAAAATTTGGTTCAGTTTTGATTTGATATTTTAAAAAATCGAAGGTACCAATTCAGTTTTGGTTAACCAATATAGAAAACTGGCGGTTAATTGAACTGACAGATGTACATATATTTTTATATATTTTATATGTATTTATGTATATTATATTTTTATATATTATAAATTCATAAACATGCATTATATAATGCATATATAAATATATATAGATATTTATAATATATAATATATTATTTATTACTTAAAATATAGTATTATATATATTTAGTTTTAATTATATTATATATATATTATTATAATATATTATAAAAACAAAAAATCGAAAAACTGACAAACCAAACCACTAGTTAGGGTAATCAAGTTTTGGGTGAAATTGGAGCTAATGAGACAAACTAACAACCATGTAAGTGTTTAGCATCAGTGCTGGGAACATCACACCGTTTTCTCATAAAAATGGTGTTGGACATGTGGTTTTTTGTTTGGAATCGGTGTTGCCACATAGGTATTTTCTGAAACAATTGCACTGGTTTTGTTTGATATTAGTGCTGGCAGCAACGTTTTCAACATTGACCTATATTATCCAATTTCCAAGATGATGTCACATCATTGCACCATTGGCAGTAATGCACCATTTTCTTAGAAAACATTGAATTTGGTATTGCTCCAAATCACACTTTCCCGATTTCTAAGACATGGCCTGGAGCAACATTTTTTTTTATGGAAAAAACGGCACCAAACAAAAAGGCATTGTTTGAAGCACTACTTTCTCTGATGTGGTGCGCCTATGTGGTGTTGTTTTCTCAGAAAATAGCATGTGTGTGGAAGGACACGTGGCCGCTTCTAATTGTGTGGGACGTTTTTTGGCCCCATCCAATGGGGCACAGATTCGAACTCTACCATAGGCAAGGTTTTTAAAACCGAACCGAACAACGAACCAATCAGGGGTCTAGTTCCTAGGTCGAACGGTCCAACCGTTTAAACCGAACGGACGACCCATTTTGACAAAAAAAATACAAAAATTTAAAAATAAAACGATCAAAACCGTTGGACGGTTCAAACGGTTTGACCACTTGAATCAACAGTTTGTTTATCAAATCAATGATTTTGAGCAAAATAACGGTTTTGAGGTAAAACAAAATTAATCACTTAACCGGTTCCCGGTTTTTCCGGTCCGGTTTTGAAAACCATGACCACAAGAATGCAGGAAAGAGATGACATGTCACCTCACCAAAAATGGATTGGAGATTGGTGGTCGGCTAGTCGCGTGCCAGACACACTTTCCCTCCATCTCTCTTCTCGTTTTCCCAATCCAACCCGGTTCCAATACCAGTTAGCCCGGACCCAGATACATGAAAATATAATGCGTGCCAACCCAAATTGGTCATAGCGAATCTATACAAAATTTTGAAAATTTACAGTTGATTCTTCCTTAAAAGTTTTTAGGGGTTTTTATCGTTCACTTCACCTCATAATTCATAATACAATTGTACAATTGGGGTCAATACCAAGGGGGAAAGATGCCAAGAAATTACAGGCCTGAAGAAAAGAGGAAAATTAATATGGAAGACAATTCCTATGGCTATTCTTTGGGTAATTTGGTTAGAGAGAAACATGAGAGTTTTTTGTAACAAGACTAAGCGCACTGATGAGGTAGTGCAGCAGGCAGTCAGCAAGCTGATTTCTTGTATGTCTGTTACTCCTCACTTTAAGAACCTGAATGTACCCGATTTGTTTAGATCCAAGTCCATTTGGAGTTTGTAACTTGGCTTAATGCTCTGTTTGGTCCTTATGTCGCTAGCTTTTCTGTTGTAACTTGTACTATCTGATTTAATAAAATCTTACTTTACCTTTCAATATATATATATATATATAGGTAAAGTAAGCTTTTATATATATAGTGTATGTGGCGTATTGAATGGAAAAATAATATCCACCCACTAAAACTCTAATATATGTATATTATCCAACTTCATTAGGCAAAGGAAGTTCTCTTACTTTGAGTCTTATGAATCTTAATGAAGTGCATCAAATATGGAATCGTGTACCTTACTACAGAATTGCAGTTTGAAGCCACAATCACTCCCAGCTCCTTCTGCATGATGTTGGTATATATAAAGTAAAAACATGGTGGCATGTTACTAGATGCCCATGAGCAAGAAACCAGTTGGCCTAAACTTGGTGGCAGTGGGCAACTTATCTAAAATATTCATGATGGAGGCATGGAAGCAAGGAAACAATCCATGGAGAAAGCAAACAGTTTTTATTTTTGGCAATTCCTCGTCCAATCGCAATTTCATAATTTTCGGATGTTTTGGATTTTTTGAGTTTTTAAATTTATTTTCTCATTTGGGCGTCTTATGAATAAGGTTTTTAAATCTTATAGAAATGTATTTCTATTAGTAAAATCAAAATTAGTATTTAATAACTTTGAATTTATTAATAGGAGTTAGAGTCCTTAATTTGAGTGTCCCTATGTGTTACCCATTGGGTTGCCTTGGTTTTAAGTAGTTAGAATTTGTTTTGAGTTAGCTTCCTAGTTGAGGCCTTGAGGGAACTCCTTTTTCCATTTATACGAATAACAACTATCAAGTGATGGCCATTAACTAATGTTAGTTCCAACTATCTGGGGGTTTTGGGAGGGATGGACTGGATACAGACCTAACCTTTGGTTCATAAAATGGTTACTTTTAAACTCAAACCTGTGTTTTTGTGATTGTCGAGTGTAACACAATAGTGATGGAAAGGACATAAATGCCCCTGAAAATAGCAACATAAAAAAACTTACAAAATAAACCAGTAGATCTCAATAGGTTCATATTGAATTACTCGTGGATAATAGTTGATCTTCTCTTTCCTCTTTTCTCCTAACCTCATTCAATGGCAACTTCATAAACTTTGGATGTTTTGGTCCTTTTGGATTTTTGAGTTTTTAAATTTGCTTCCTGGTTTCTTTACATTAGTCTTAGATAGAAAGATTAATAATGGGTATTCAAAGTTATTATAGAAGTTAGAATCTTTGCCTATGTGTTACCTATTCATTGCCTTTAAGGGGTGTTTGGAACAATGGTGTTGTGTTGTCATTGTGTTTTGGGTTGACCAATACAAATTTGTATGAGAAAGATTTTTCTACCTCAAGTGTTTTGAAAGTGTTTTAAGTTGATCAATACAAATTGCTATTTTTACCTAAAATATCAAATTTGATGTTTCTTACATGCATTTTTCTAATTGAAATGGCATTCATATACAATGTGGCAATACATTTTTCTCACAAATTTGTATTGATTAACCAAAAACGCAATGGCAACAAGACACCACCGTACCAAACACCCCCTTAGTTTTGAAGTGGTTGGAATTTGCTTTAGTTTAGCTTTCTAGCATTGATGTCAAACATATACTGAATTTGGCATTTGCTCCGGACCACTTTTCCGATTTTCAAGGCGTGATTTGGAGCAATGTTTTTTTTTCTAGAAAAATGATACCAAACAAGAGGACGCTGTTTGAAATACCACTTTTTCTGATGTGACACCCACCATTTTCTCAGAAAATGGCATCGATGCCAAACACCAACTTAGGGTTTTTCCGACTTGACTTCCCTTTCAAAGGGATGGATGGGCTTTTTTCATCCAATAGGGAGGTTTTTTCTGGGTCAGGTCACTGAACTGGGATCCAGTTCAGGGGTCTGAAATGACTGGGTTTTCCTCAAAGAGGTGGGGAAGCCCGAAGCCATAAAGCTTGAAAAAAAAATAATGATTAAAATGCCCTTAAAAGGTGAAATAGCTAAAACACCAAAGTTGATTGGTGGAGGACTGGATTTAAGTGTAAAAATGGTGTGCGTACAACCATCAAGGCATCAGCCCCATTAGTGGATTAGAAGCAAGATGCTGGAATATAGAAGTTTGGTGTTACAAAACAATGTTCAAGGGCTAACCGGCTAAGTGTTAGCACCCCTTGAATAGGGTGGTTGTCTGTAATTTATCCTAAAATAAATAGAAAAAGGGAGATTCAAAATTCTTTTAGCCCCAAATAAGGCTTCCTTATTTTGATTAAATACTAAAATAAAAAAAATGGAAAATAAGATATCATTTTTGTTGCGTAAATGATCAAAACATCAAGAAGTTACCAAACAAAATAGAAACTAAATAAAATAATTCTGCAACATTAGGAACTGTTTAAAGTTTAAACAACGCCCAAATGGTTTATTATAAATATAAAGAACTCAAATCAAATTATAAGTTACCAAACAAAGGCCGATGATATTTTAAATATACATAATATACAATGGAAATTATTTTTCTAAAATTGTTAGATATTAATCAAAATAATTTCTCAATGTTGAGCATGGGTCATTTGCTAATTTAGATATCAACTCTACCAGTGGCATCTTCAATACCATCACCAAATTTTAATGGCTTCCAATTCATCTATCTACTATATAAAGCCAATGCTATAAATCAAAAAAGTTAAATCCAAATGCCATATATCATATATATGATTAATACTTTAAATGCACACGTGAGTAGCACCCGTGCTCTTACAATAGTCTCTTTTAATAAAAACAAAGATATTAACAACCCCCAACTATTCTCACTTTATCAGCCATCACATAGGCAGAGGCAATACAATCTTGGAGGGGGGAAAAACTGTGGCTACATTGATGGTTGATACATCCTACCAAGTCTCAATCCAACCTTGTATATTGCGCAAGTATTTGTATTTTACGGGGAGGCCTCATCTTGTATTTCTCAAATTGTCAAATTTTTTAGCAGCCCATATGGAAACGGCGTGCCATAATTCTACCATTTAAGGCAAGTGCTAGCACATCAAATTCCTCCACATACCAGAGCTCGGAAACAATGGCCTGCATGATTCACACAAAAGTGCTGCCAGCTTGTAAGCCAAATGTAAACCCAAGAAAGCAATGTTTGTATAAGCATAAACATCCAAAACTAATCAGCCTTTGCATCAAATTGGGAAGAGGCCTCAACTACAATTAATTCATAGAAATGTCATAAATGCAGACATCTGCAAGGACCATTTCCTTTGAACCAATAACATGTCTAAAGCTGAACCTTTTTTGGAAAAAAAAAACGCATTCAGGATAGTTTTCTAATCACTAGAAAAGATGCAATGGATAGGAAGGCCCATTAGCTGATTCAGTCAAATTATTATAATTTTTTGATAATATAAAAGACAATTAATTAATGAAAGAAAAGGAAGAGTATTTAAAGGAGTATTCAGGCTTTGCAGTCCAAGCACCCCACATAGACACCTCTAACATATAGGATAAAACACATCATGCAGAATAACCATTCAACCAATTGCAAATACCAGAGAACTCACCACCCAACTAACTCTAATACATATGCACCCACAAAACAAAATGGACTGTAACAAGGGCCTCCTCAAACACAAACATAAAAACACAAAGATTTATCAACCCCAAAAATCAGACAGATCCAACTACCTATCCACTCACAACTGGCAGACCCAACACACTACAAGTATGACTGACCAAAAGAAAGATAGCTGTAGCCATCCTACCCTGAAGAAACAGACTTTTCAGTGCTCTCTCTAGTTTTTAGTTCCAAGCTATTCTAGAAAATTCTTCTCCACCCAGAAAGAACTGTCCCAGATTGAAACCAACTTGAACTTCCTTCTCAAACACCCTACTTAATTCCATCATATTCTTCACCTCAGGAGCTCCTTTATTAGAACCAAAGGTAATGACTACTCAAAACTCCCTTATCTTCTCCAAGTTGTAAGCTCCCAAACCACCTCTATGCACCCTCCTCATTACAGCACCAAAGAGCACAGCCTCTTCCACCCTCCTATCTTGATTCAAGTACTCCTCTACATACAACAGTTCCAAGTATATTTTATAACTGTAAAACTAAATATTACCTCGAATCCACGAACTTTATTATTTAAGCAGGTAACCAGTTCATGGAAGAATTGGAGTTCATCAGGATGCTTTTGTAGCTCCTACATACCAAAAGAGCACATGATAAACAAGAAAAATAACAAGATAATTTTTATAGACAAAATGCAAATTGGGCATGGTTTAAAATGTCCATCATCATCATCTAAGCCTTGTTCCAAATATATGGGTTGCATGAATCCTGTTTCGCCATTCTGTTATGTTCAATGCATGGTATAAAATATCCATTTATTTCCTATTTTTTCTATGGCATTTCCATTTCCATGGGTACAAAACACAAAAGATTACCAAAATTGGCATATTCCCCAGTGAAAACAATTGGTGCTATATGAGTACAAATCCACAAGAGTTGGTATTCTAATGTAAGTTGGCAAAAATATTGTAGATATGTGGAGTAGCAGTATTATTGGCCATGTAATTGACATGATTACCACTTTGAGCCAACTCAAAATTCTATTCAGACATGAAGTTTTTTTCATCAGCTATTCAGACATGAAGTTAAATCTTAGTTTTTCCATATAATAGATTATTTGGTTGATCTATTAAAAATATCTGCACTTTTATAGGTTTAAAATTTGCTTGAACTCTATCATGTCGTTTTGACTCTTAGGTTGTGTTTGGTTTGAAGGAAAAGGAAGGGAAAGGTACGGAAACCTACACAGTTTTGTATGGGTTTCCCTACCTTTTCCTTCAAACCAAACACAGTCTTAAAGTTTACAGGACAACTTCATAGTGTATTATTTTTTTTTTCATAGGTAAGATAAAATAATTCAGTTGTCTATTAAGTTTGGTTTCTTGGCTTTTTTTTATGCTTTGGAACAAGATAATAATTTAAAAGGGTGTACCTATGTTTATTTTATCATTTCAAAAAACATCATTCTATATTTTTGCATATTTCACAGTGTTCCACTATGTCTATAATTTTCACAATATTTCCATACAATACTTTCAACATTTCCAACATTTTCCCTATATTTGGAAGAACAGTATTTTCCACTGACACTAATACTTTAAACCTTGGCTAGGAGATGGATACCCATTTGTATCTTGGACAAATTTTAGACATGTATATCAAGAGGCTTGATATGTAGATTTTTATATAATATCATGTTTCTATAACAAATAATTAAAGTATGTACTTAAGTTAAAAGGGGTTAAAAACCAAGACTTCACACAGATGTCGCACTTTCTGCATATCTCTCTATATTTCAGAGAGAGAGAGAGAGAGTCCGCCATGAAATAAAACATATTTGTACTACCTTTATAATTCCTGCCTGCATGATTTTGTTGACTAACACTTGTCATCCTTAAGCATATCTATATATCATATAGAACCCTTAATAAAGTGGAATGCCCCTGGATGGAATGGAGTGGTGAAACAGGATTCATGTTTCTGACCTCATGCACTTGGAATAAAGCTTAATACATAGATGTTAGTACAAGCTATAATAAAACACACTCCTTCATGCTCTTCATAGCCAAATCTGAGTTTTACTAATGATAAAGCACAAAGATGCCTGTTTCAGTAGATATTTGTGTTTCTATATTCATATCAAGCAGAATTTCCAATAGTTTTCCCATAGTTACCTCAGGAGAAAATTTAGGGTGACCCAGAAGACGAGCAAATGAGGTATGAAGTAAAGCAGGGTCATACTACAGCACAAAAAGAACATTAGTAATGCTTAGTGATCACAGCAACTTTCTTTTGTAGGCATGGAAAGCAATACACATTTTTATTTATACGTATATGTAAATGGAATAATAGTTTCTTAATCAGGTCAATCAGGGAAACATCCTAACAACCTACCTATTTCTGCGACATGGGCAAATCTTGTGGTTAATTCAAGCCATCCCTTGGATAAGGAGAAATCTAGATTGGCCACATAAAAGATCTACCCCCACTTTGTCTTGGATGTTTCCTTGAGTAAGACAAGCCATTCAAATTTTCAATTTTAATTAAGAGAAAAACACCACCCAAGGACTTGTTTGGGCCACATGGAAGAGTTTAAGCTCATTACTTCCCTATGAAAAGAGGGTGACAAGAATAGGATTTATACATTCTCACCAAACATCCTAACTAGCAGACCTGTCCCCTATGTGCGCATACATGTGTGTGTGTGTGTGTGGTGGGGGGGKGGGGGGGAGAAGTGAGGGGGAGAGATGTTAGCAGCGGGAAAGAGACTTCATATACAAATAGCCAGAAAGGATAATGAGAAAAGCCTAAAGTACCAATTGGGTAAATCAGAATAGCACTCATCCAGTCCAGGTCACATGAATACAATTAGTAATTAGCAGAGAACTTCCCATTGGAAGGCTCCAATTACAGAGGTGTGCCAAAAATTAACCCATTAGGATGATTCAAAGCTTAGTGCACTAGCAATCTTGGACGGTAAAAAAAAACAACAATAATTCTCAATAAATGGTCAAAAAATAGCATCTATAGTCATATACTTATCTTTGGAATTTTGGATTAGTTTTTGGTACATATTTGTTAGGTGAGATCCACCAAACAGTGGAACCAGTGCCCACAAAAGCACTATCTCTACTTCTAGATCCTTGTAATGCTGCTTGTGGTCCATCTGTTGACCACATAGAACTGCTATTGAAACAATGCAACCATACAATGAAATTAGATAGTTCAAACTCTTACAAGTTGCTTTTGAGGTGCACGTGGAAGACTATCTCTCAGTTTTAAACGTATAACCATGGGATCTGTCCCAGAGATCACCTACAGAAGCAAACAAGTATAATTATCATGATAAACCAAGGACCAGAAATATATCTATTATTTTTTTGAATTTGATTGGCCAAGATTATTCAAGTGGATCTTAGCCCAATTCTAGGTGTTAACTATAGATGATAAATGTCACATCGATAAGTCAAAGTATCTTGAATCTAAGAAGCAATCTGATAGATGCCTGCAACCATGTGATCTAGGGACACTGAAGCAGATTAACATATCTGATAATCAGGGCCAAGAGGAAACATCAGTGTAACAGATCAAAGGGGCTGTTTGATAATGTCTTTTAATTTTAAAAGTAATTAAATAATAAAATTTTCAAGGGTATAGTTATCTACCCAACTTCAGTTTCGGCCATTAAGGAGTTCACAACCTCCTTAAAACTTATTCACTAAACAAAGCAATAAGCTTTTCAGTTCAGCATCTTTAGCTGTTATCAATTGAGGAAAGTCAATTGGCTCACAAGAAATATGACAGTTACCTCTCTTTGGGTAGAAAGATCAGCAAATTCCTTAGCGGATGGACTAGCTAAGCAAGGGGTTTCAAGGGATCATTTGTTTTGGGCTGCTATGTAATTTTATTTCTGTTTATTTCTGCTTATCCGGTTCTTAATTGATGTAATACTTTGTTAGAAGAGGTAACAGCTCGTGCCTCTTCATGGGTTTCCTGTATTGCCTTATATTCTGATTTAATAAATTATTTTCATTCATCAAAAAAAAATGGCCCATAAGTTCAGATAGGAGGTCTCATTACAGAAGGAACCAAGTTGTCACTTCAGGAAGAAGGACAACAAACCCACTAATTAGGTTGGCCTCATTGTTTTGAAAGGTGATAAGGCAAGGCTTTTCAACATATATCTCAAGGTATGGCAGGTTTTTTGTAGCCCAAAAAGAAAAAAAAAAAAAGTTGAGGCAAGGTTTTGATGTTCAAAATACAAAGAATCATATATTTCACTTTTTTTCCCAACAACTAAGAGGAAAACACCTTATAGTAGACCTGTAATAGCCAAAAAGGAAACATTTACAAGTGGTCCATCCAAGAACCATTGGGGAGCTACTAACTGGTAAACAGACAAAGGAAGATCCTTTGGAGTACCACACCACTAATAATATTGAGGATCATAAGGAAATGAACCTCAGGATTTTTGAAAACAAGGTGGCATCCAAAGAGAAGATTTTGCAGAGAGTGGTGGCCACTCTTCACTCTTCGTCTTAATAAACTTTCAACAAGGTTGCCTTTCTTTAGGTTTTCTCCCTTTATGTTGAAAAACTTCACTTCTTCGTGAGAACAGAACAAGGGGGTGTTGGGGAATCACCCTATTCTTTCTTTCTTTCTTCTTCTTGGCTCCATCCTTTATTCTTATTCTCCTCTGTGAAAAAAGCATGGGCTCAGGGCTCTGCCCCTTTTATTCTCCTTCTCAGTGAATGAAAAGCATACTCTGTTTTCTTAATTTCATTTGAATTTTGATCAGAAGTTAAACAATAGACAGGAACTTAAATAAAAATTGCTAAGGCAATGTATATCTAAAGCTTTTGATGATTAGTGGTGTCCCCTCAGGGTTTGGTGGCTCAAAGTTTTCAGAAATGAAACCTTTGTTATATACAGCCTCAAAACTCAGTATCATTCGCCATAACAAAACATGGAAGAAAGTTGGTACAGCTTACAGAAAAGAAAGGGAATTCATGTTACTAGGAGGTACCTGCCAGCACCCCACAAGCACACCAGTTGAAGTTAAAACCACTCTATCTAGGATAATTTTCAGCGGGCAAAGGGTCTCTGCAACAGCTTTAACTGCATTTGCTTCAGCCTCAATCTTGCAAAATATGGCAGAGATTTCAATGTAGTGAAGATGATTATTCATGACTAAGCAAATGTTGCCTCAGAATACCCAAATACCTCATCATTTGTAGCAGGAACAGGTTCTATATGATGTGAGGCATGAAACATACTGAAGTGATATAAACTAGAGTTCTGGAACCAGATTGCTGGCCAAGAAAAGAGGAAGAATGTCAATGAATGAAAAGAGAAAGATAAAAGAAAGAATGGCAAAAGTTCAGGAGCGGGTAATAGAATACTCACTTGTGACTGAACCTAAACCAATCTTTTATTTAAGCAGTAACAATTGAATCTTATATACCTTCAGTCTCAAACTACAACACTCAAGTGAAAAGATCGTCCAAATGGAAAGACACATCACCTTTATCAAAGTAGGGAAGAAATACATCCCTTACAGCCTGCCTGCAGCAAGCCAAGGATGCAAGTATGACCCATGCAACATTCAATATCAGTAGATTAAAGAACAAAAGGAAGAAAACAGAAGAAACTAAAAAGCACATTAAATCAGTTCTATTATTATAAATCCAAGAAATGAAAATCAGCAAAACATTACACCGGATTTTTTGCTGGTACATTTTTAGACATACTGCCAATCAACCTAAGGATATCAAGATGGAAGGACAAAATCCTGTAGGATTGGGATAGAGCCATGGTATCAATCTCCTCATCATTATCTTTTTGTTTTTTATCTGAATAATCATTTTTCAAGCATCTTTGGTCCTTTTAATTACTATTTAATCTGAATTCACCGCCATGGTCATGGCTTCTCCTAGTCATCTATTATTGCATAATTGTCACCACTTCTTGTCTGATATCACAAATCTAGCATCTAAAATCATACGATCTAGCCCAGGTATTTACTTGCAAGGTGAAAACCTGCCACACAGTGGGCCCTAGCTGGGAGATTTCCAAGATAAAAAAGAGAACATAAATACTATGACAATCCAACTAAAGATTTTCTAGAACCTTTCAACAGAGCTTCTCCCTCCAACCTAAGAACTAGTGTAGAATTAAATTGTTGCATCATCAAGTTTATTAATTTCTGTTCCTGTTGACATCTTAAGTTGGATCCATTAAAAGATTGAGGTATTCATCCTTGTGTTCTTGCCACATACCTACATACATGAACATGTTTGTGTTATGGGTAATCAGACAATGCATTCCCTATTCATGTCTTTGCTAGTTTAGCGAATGGTTGATTTTGGTGAGTGAGACATGTGAAATGTAAAAGTTGGGCTGCTACTGATTGACATATTGATGAATGTCAAGCAATGCAAGCACAAGTTTAAATTTTGGCATATGAACACGGTAATTGACTAATCCAATAAGGGGAAGAATAAGATAAACTTACGAGATAGGAACCGAGAATTCTGGACTCATGTATAGAACATTAGCTCGAACAGGAGGATTTGCAGCCTAAACAAGTTTAGAAAAAACAGAAGATAAAGAAATAGTATAATTACGATATTGGTGAAATAATTAAGGTTACTTACGCAATCTAATGAGGTTAACTAATTCCCTTTTCTTTTTCCTCTTATTTCAAGTTTACAACCTTAAGTATAGGAGTGACAGCCCCATCCTTGAGAGAAAAAATATCAGAAATGGATAACGACTGAGAAGTTTCTCCGCCTCGAAGGAAAACCGCTCCATGTTCATCCAAATCTCGTGCCATTTTATCGTACAGTTTCGACCTTTCGGAATTCAAACTGGGGGATTCTGATGAGTTTAAAACGTGAAACTTGTTAAGCAACAACCTTAAGAGAAGCTGTTAGGATGGAGCTATCATTTACAGCACATAGACTAGTTCCTATTAAAATACTATTTCAAGTGCAAAGCTCTAAACTTCACAGACCAATCAGAAAATCTGAAAAGGGAAACTTACAAGTACCTGAATCAGTAAATCGATCATTTTGGGATGAGGATTGGACGGCCATTCGAAACAGCAGAAAGAACAGAAGAGCAGAGAGAAACCAAACCAGAGCTGCTCTTCTAACATGACTCTTACAAATTCTAATCGTCCTCGCCATTTTTATGCGTCAAGGGGGGCTCGGAAGTCTTCTGTTCTAAAACTTAAACAGTGGTTGGGTTACGCGCCGGACCCATTGTAGGCCATTCATGACCGCGCAGCAGATCAGAACCGCTCATTTTGAATCTCATCCTCTTGGCCGATAGGATTGGAGGTTGATATGGGAGCGGATCTGTTAGTATCAAACTCCGCACATCATAGGCTTGTTGAAATCTATCCATAACAGTAACACTTGAACAAGCTGCATTTATTATTCACATTAATTTTTTGAGAACTCAGATCTGGAATTCTGGATTCGGTTGATACATCATCCAAAGAATTTCTGTTTTCCAAAATTACAAATGATACAGACTGTTAGGGACACGTGGCAAAGAAAAGGATGAATTCTCCTGCAATTTTGCAAATTGGAGGGGAGGTATATTAGGGCTTGATCATTTCCGGCCAATGATTCCGATCATCCGATGTGCATTGCGTGGAATTAGAAATAACACGAAATGATAATCCTTAATCGACGGTAGGAAATTCACGCAGATGGTAAACAACGGAACCTCCGGAGAGAGGCCGGAAAGAAAATCCATGTGGCTGCTCTCACTCAATGATACATTCTAGACAGTTTGATCTTAAACATAGATTGAGGGGGGTGTACTTGTCCGCATCACACCTACACCATGTGACAGGTACACACTACAATCCACAGTTTTCATGGGCCGGGTCGGGCCAGACTCAGGCTGGGCTTTCACTCTATTAATAGATTTTTCTAAGGTCCAAGCCCGAGCCCGGCCCGACCATCGGGCCTACAATTTGGGCCCAAGCCCGGCCCTCATAAAAAGCCCGAAGTCCGGGCCTGGGCCCGAGCCCGAAATTTAGTCCATGTTGTTACTATTACTGAAGTGGCTGAATAGAGAGAGAAATTATAAAGAAAAAATTAAAAAATGTATATATTAAATTATATATATATATATATTTCAATAAATATTATATTATTTATATATTTATATAATATATAAAATACATATTATGTATTTTATAAAATATATAATGTTGAGTCGAGCCGGGCTTTTTTGACAAATCCCGAGCCCGGCCTGTAACACAGTCGGGCTTACTATGTTAGGCCTGAGGTCAGGCCCGTGGGCCTAATTACATGACCAAGCCCAACCGGGGTGCAGGCCGGGCCATTGGGCTACCCAGCCCATGAACAGGTCTAATTGTGAATAGATTGTGTGGACGGGATGAGTTCATATTTATAGTGGCATTAAAATGGTATGGTGTGGATCAGTTCATATCACACTTTTTGATTCTACATATCTCCTATATATTTTATAGGAGATCTATATATTCAATCATGTTATTTAATGTTTACATTTTATATAGTAAATAAATTGAAAAAAAAGGCATCAATAAAATAATATTTTGGCAAGTATTGTGATTAAGGGTGATTTGGCCCGACTTAGTATAAAGGGGACACGTGGACACGACCTGACCAAGAGATGACAACTCAGCCCGACATGCCTAGTTCGCAACAATTGAGCACGGACCCCCAACCAGTTTGGCATTAAGTCACCTCGGGACAAGGCCACCTCGGTCCCAAGGCACTTCGGCATTTAGTCAGTTCGAAACTAAAAAGTATCAGCTTGGGGATACCGATCCAGACCACTACGTGGCAACACAGTTGAGCTCGGACCCCCAACCAGTTCGGCATTAAGTCACCTCGGTCCTAAGGCACCTTGACATTTAGTCAGTTTGGAACTAAAAAGTATCAGCTCAGGGATACCGATCCAGACCACTATGTGGCAACCTAGGAAATCTCTCTAACAGACCCCGAACCTCGCGGGATCATGCCGCATAACGGCAAGCCTTATCTCCTCCCCGTCCGGTTCGGGAGGAATTGATAAGCCTTATCAGTTGGTAGCATTATCCTCTATTTAAAGTGGAAACGGATCCCATCGTGACGAAGATCTCGAAACCGATCCGCAAAACCTGCGAGGACTCAGCTATATAAAGGCTCCAACCCCGAGGGCATAAGGTACGCGTGATTTCTCTGCTCTCTAGCTCTCTATATTTCCAAAAAGCTACTTCAGCTCGCAACAAACTTACTAATTTAAGCATCGAATCAACCTCGCCGGGCTAGCCACCCCGGGTTCTCTGGTCTTATCTTGCAGATCCACCTATCTCGCCAACCGACTGGAATCCAGATCATCCTCCAGCAGGAAGCAGTCAGGTCGCGCTACATCAAATTGCAATTTTTAAATAATTAAAAAGTATTATTTTAAATATTAAAAAATAATATTTAAATAATGAAAAAAATAGTGGAAAAGGATAATCATCGGAGTAATTGGACCAATGTAATGTAACACAGGTGTGTTACACTGAAACCTTCCCACAAACTGTCCACACCATAGTATGGACCATCCACAAGAAAATACGTGAACAATAAATTGGGGTGTAGCCCCATCCCTGTCCACACTATTTTGTAGACGGGGACCGCCCACACATAGCAGAACACCATATCTTACCATGGACAGGATCAAAATGGTCCCATCCACGATATTTACACACCACCAAACGCCACCTGGTTTAAAGATATGGGCTTCTGGGGGACGACTTTAAATGGAGAAGTTGCAATTTGTTACTTGTTTGAGACGAGAGTGGTGTATTAGTGTAGCTTCTTTCGTTCGCGTTTTCCTTTGCATTGTTGTATGGGCTTTGCTTTATAGTTTAAAGTAGCGGTGATCATGGGGCGGGCCAAGCTTTGCACGCCCGACCTGTACTGGGGTTATGAGTTTGAAATATAAGCCCGAGCCCAGGTCTATACAGGCCTGGGCCGGAGTGGTCATGACTCTCGAATTATGTATTTCATATATAAAACATTATACATATAAAAGACAAATAGCATGCATATAAATTTATTTTATACATTATCTAATATAAAATATTAACCATAATATAAATTATGCGTATCATATTATAATATTAATATATAAAATATATATAATGTAATATAATATAACATGTGTACTCTCTCTCTTTCTCTCACTCTCTCTCTCTATATATATATATGTCGGTAGGGGCGTATCAGGCTATATCAATACTTTTTTTTTACTTTTTTATTTTTTCAAAACCGGTTCAACGGGGGCTAGTTTAAGGCTCCTCCACCCCCTAAACTGGTCAAAAACTCGACACCCTCTTTAGGGGCGTATCGAGGAGCTCCCGAAATGATACGTGTCGATATTTTGAACCTTATATATATATATATATATGTGTGTGTGTGTGTTCAGCTCAAGCCTGAACACAAAACCCATGCCCAAATCTATAATTTTCAGGCCTAACTTGTACAGGTCGGGCTGAAATGATCACCCCTAGTTTAAAGGAATTAGAACATGAATAAGGCTGATTTGGATCCGATTATCTCAGGATTAATGTTAAAATCACATCAATTTAATAATCAGATCATATGCGGATTTGACCTCATCCGATCCAAAATAAATGGGTCCCATGATATGTAATATATATAATAATGCATTAATATATATTTTATATATAACATTTTATATTTATATACCTTTTTCTATATATGTATAAGTTGAAGAATAAGTAATTTTTATTTTTATTTATTTTAATGGATGTAAAGTAGAATGGGACCAATTTGAACTTTCAATAATCGGAATAGATTCAGGTGTAGCTAAATCCAATCCAATTATAGCGCTAACAAGATATGTTGAAAAAGATGGATCAAAGTTAAGGTGATATTTGGCGTGTCTTTTCAGTGCGTCTTTTGGTCTACAGAAAGTTTAAAAGACCAAAAAATGGTTTTTTTCCGCTTGGTATCATGTAGGCCAAAAGACCCGAAGATGAGTGCTGGAGAAACTGAAAATATCAAAAAACGGGAAGCTTCAAATGAAGGTTTTGGTCTTTCCGTGGTGAAAATAGCCTTTTCATCTGTTTTTAACAGCCAATTAGACCATGATGTGAATCAAATGAAAGCAGATTTGGTACTTACAAAATTGTGCTTATACCATTCTCACAGCCCTTTTCAACCATGTATTAGGAATATCTCCAATAAAAAATATAAATATGGAGATGTTCTCAGTGCATGGTGAAAAAGGCTACGCGAACGGTGTAAACACAATTTTGTGAGAACTGAATTCACCATCTAACCAAACAGTCTTGGTCTTTAAAGATAAGAGTCCAAAATCTCAATCCATTTTCTTATCTATTGGATTGTTAAAAGATCTACCTAGAAAGAGTTATCAAACAGCCCCCAATTAACCTTCTCTGGATTCTCTTTTGAATTCTACTTTGATGATGGAAAGACATGATAAAAAAAATTATAACCAATCAATTAACCTATTTTCATCAAATTTTACAAGGGCTTTGATTGGTCAAAACATTTCCAGCCCTTAATTAACCTTCTCTGGATTCTGTTTTGAGTTCTACTATTATGAATCTATGATGGAAAGACATGATAAAAAAAAAAATTATAACCAATCAATTCGTATCATAAAAGTGTTAACCAGTCATGTAAATTTTCATCAAATTTTATAAGGGTTTTGATTGGTCAAAACCTTTCCGGTGCCATATCTTTCCACATCATAGGTTTTTCGATCTCTATATGAGGTATGGTGATTTAAAACTCTATCATCTCAGATTGCAAGACCCTTTGCATGGTTTTCGCTTTTCAGCAAGCCTTAATCTCCCCACATCCTTTGTGCGTAGAGTCTGGATCTGCTCTCGCAGAGCACTCCTCACAGCAGTTTCACAGCATGTTCTAATCGTATATCGGGAGCATTTCCTGGATTTACATGTAATTGTAATATACGATAGGATGTCTGTGAGATCGGTGTTAAGGTTCTTGTGCAGGCAACATGGCAACTCACAATATTTGCTAAATTTTCTGTGATGTTTAAACAACAATCACATGATCTTTAATTCCTGATTTTCTCAACTCTGTACTTTTTTTATAGATGATTTGATGCGATGAATTAGCAAAAGAATAATTATTAGGCATTGGCCCCGCTGAACAGAACTAGGTTCAGTTCCTCTGAAATCGAAATACATGCACGGCATGTGCATGTTGCTTGGGCCCCCAGACCATCATATGCATCCAATTTCCCGAACCAACTCTTAGGCCCATACCTCAACTTTTTACACGATCAGATCCAAGCAAGAGGCCCACTAGAAAAGTCC